GGAGCACGGAAAGGTACAGCATCGACCGCGCCATCCACTCTCTGGTGTGCTGCTCCACCAGAGAGGCACGGAGGCGAGACGCACTGTTGCCCAAAGTGCGCTCCTTCATGAGCCCGATCACAGCTCTGTCGCAGGACAACCTGGGAGGGGAAAGAGGTGATCAGAGGTTACTGGAGAAAACCACAGAAATACATTACTGTTGCTGTTACTGTTTACATTACTTACTTGTACGTGAGAACTGCTGGAAACTGCTCACGATGGGCCATGTCCAGCTGTCCCAAGATGTCCTGCGACCATCCCGGCATCTTCTTGTGACAGGAGCTGCATTCCAGGTACTCCGTGCCCATGAAGTACCAGCAGCTCCTGTCCAAGACCCTCCTCACCGTCTTGTAGAGGCCAGCTCCCGCAAGCTTGCCCCCACAGGCGACGATGGGGCAGCGGAGGTGGTACGCCCACATCCTGTAGGGCACCCACAGGAAAAAGGGACTCTGGAAAAAGGGGTGGGCTGTGGCGGGTGGCTGGGTGTAGAGGGGCCGGGCACCTGGTGGGTGCCACCACAGGCGGAGTTCAGATGTGAGGACACCCTGCCCGTTGGGTGCCCTCCTGAACAGTGCCCTGCCCACCCAGTCGTGCTGCTCTTCGGGGAGCGTCAGCCTCCAGCCACGTGGTAGCAGCTGAAACACACAGCAGTGTCAGACCGTTAGTGTACTGAACACAGACACACACACACTACAACACAATATGTCATCACTGAGCATACCTGTGCGCCGGGGCCTGACCTCTCCCCACAGGTGTTGTCCTGAAGGGGACGTTCCGGTGGCTGGGAGAGAGAGAAGGGGGGCACGGCTGATGGGGCATCCCTGCACGGGTCGACCTCCATGGCGGCAGCGAGCAGGTCAGCATCCGAGGGTCCATCCTGGGGACCAACAGCGTCCAGGGGTGGCTGTGGTGGTTGTGCTGCCAGGGCTGCCTTCTCTGCATCCCGGGCCTGCACATATTTTTTTAAGTCCACCAACCTGGATGCTTTGGCTGTGGGTGCCGCCTGCCTCACAAACTGTACATAGCTAAAAAAGAGAACAGAAATGCAATGGGTAAAAAAGTCACGCACACACACAGACATACACACACAGACAGACACAGATACACACACAGACACACACAGACACAGACACACAGATACACACACAGACACACACAGACACACACAGACACAGACACACAGATACACACACAGACACACACAGACACACACACACACACACACACACACACACACACACAAACAAACAAACAACTTACCTTGCCCGCTCACGGTCCGTCGACTCGTACAGGGTCTTGTAGGTCAGGTCACTATGAACACCGAACCCCACCAGCGTGTCGTCCACGCCCCTCATGGTCTGGGGACTGCCCTCGAGCATCCTACGCCTGTCGATGGCTGCCACCATCGGCGGGAACAGCCTGGCGTAGGAGACGAGGGCGTCTTTGTGCACCATGAGGGCATTCTGCTGACTAGTGCCCCCTTTGTCTCTCTCTCCCTCGTGGGACACACAGATGGTGACTGCGTATCCCACGTCATTCTCCAGCAGCCACCGGAACGTCTGACCACGGTACTGGCCGAGCTGCAGCTCGCTCTCGGCCAGCACCTGATGGTGATCGGTGGGGTTACCTCCCTTCTGCACCACCCTGTCTCTTGCCTCAGAGCGCACCAGCTCAGGGGTCTTAACCACCACCAGGGCAGTGGCAGAGGCAGAGGCCCCCCTCTGGCGGCGGCTCAAGGCCAGCGCCTCCTGAGAGGCCCGCAGGGTCAGGTCAAGGTTTGCCTCAAAGCGGAAAATAGGCTGCATTTTCTAGAAAGACAAGAAATAAGATTTAAGTCAGTAATCTGCTACACATGCACTGTTTACATCCTACTGACAGTCTATTACTGTACTCAATGATACTGTGCCCATTCATTAACATACATTCAACATCAGGCGTCCTGTTTACACATTTAAACCATATTTACACTTTGAATTTTGACTTCAAACTGTAGTAACTACATCTACAGGGTCTAAGGAAGATAATCAGGTAGTCTGTTTAAAGATTAAATACATTGTGAGAGATCGCCAGCCCTCAGAAAAGTAGTAACTAAAATGACCTCATTCACCTCCTTGTTTTTAGCTAGCAAAATCACGGCTGGTCTGTTTACACATTTAAACCATATTTACACTTCAAATTTTGACTCCACCTCGTTGTACCAGCATACCAAGGGTCTTAAGAAGTGAGCCAAGTTGTCTCATCACGTTTTTAAAGCGTTTCCAGAGATCGTCAGCTCATCACAGCAGTGGCTAAATGCTCATTCATTCCCAACGCTTAGCATGCTAATATCGATTTATATGCTAACGCATCTAAAGCACAGTTAAACTTTAAATATCAACTCCACACAATAGCAGTACAATATCCTAGGTCTCAACAAGTAAACCCAGTATGGGAATATTATTTTAAACACATTTCACCGATCGGTAATGACATCGGCGGCAGTCCTAACTTACGCTAACGTTACATTGGCTCGCTGTTTCACTGCTAACTGATTACTGTATAATATATAAGCTGCCTTTTCAATGTAGCACATAATTTTACAAACAATAAAGTTTGTCTAACCTTATAATATTGTGTGAATGTCCGTCCGTCCGCTCACTCAAACGCCGCTCAGTCCGAATGAATGAATGACACTGACCGTGGCTGTGGCTTTGGGGGTGGGCGGGACATGCGGCGAGCTGTCGAATCACAGCACAGCACCCAAATGGAACAGACCAATGGGGTTGACCTGGCCTTCACCCATTGGCCTGTTCCATTTGAGCATGAGCCAATGATAGCCTCTGAAATCGGTAGGTGGGGACATTTATGTGGAACACAGGTACAGAGACGAAGGCTGTCCCAGAGCAGAGGCGCTCCCCCAGCGTTCTTCTATGTTTTGGTCGGCACCCGCGCATGCGCACTAGAGCGCAAAAGACGCGCGGTCGACGTGCGGAACGGCACTCCCGCTCGCCGGTTCGAATCCCGACGGAGGCAAACTGCGAAACGCGTGCATAGCGTCGAAATGTCTTCTCTAAATATAAAAAAATGATTAAAACATGCTTGGAACCGTTGTATAGAGTCTATAAATGATAATGAATTTGCATATTTCCAAGGCCAGGCAATGCAATAATAAATGGATTTTTCATTTACAGTACGGTTTATCTCCTGTGTCTTCATTTTATTGAGAATATGTATCATCAGTGTTTATTGAGAATATGTATCATCAGTGTTTATTGCTTTAAATTTGATATAGGACAAGAGAACAATGATACCAGTATAAAATGATGACAATTTATTTGAAATATGAAGTCAGATGTCCAGGATACAGGACAGTGCAGCATATCAGTGTGGAAAGGGCTTTACAAATAAAATACAATTCTCAGTAAAAAAGGGTAAATAAATTATTTATGTATAAATTAAAGTTACATGCTGTGTATGATTTGTTTCCCCTTTTTCTTCAGTGAAATAAATATCAATTAAATATATTGTTGTTGTGTTCTGCATCTTCACAACAACAACATCAAACACAGCAGAAGTACAGAGCAAAATAGATTATTTAAACTACAATCCAATAATAATAGTAATAATAATAATAATAATAATAATAAATGGTGATGCAGAACAGAGCAGTGGCACAAGGCAATCACAGCAGGCAGACACATAGTATAAGAGCTCAGCACAGATATGCATGGATACATAACACAGGGGCATTACAGTGTGAAGTACCTGTACATACAAGGCTTTTTATTTTTTTGGCAGCAACAGAGCCAGTGGCAACAGCAGATGAACCAGCACAAATGGCAGTCCGATATCTTGCGTCGCAGCTACTGGATGTAACTGATGTAACAGTGATCACATTAATGAACATACCCACATGTCCAAAATATAAAAAATAAAAAAACTTGTCAGTGCATAGAATCAGAACAGCACAGAGGCATGACAGCGTGTTATACAGGTGTGAATGGGACACACAATGAGCTCCCCTGAAGTACAACAACACAAATCACGTCACTCAGTCTGGTACAAATATGACTCAGTGTGGACACGCGTAAGCGTGGTGGCTTGAGTGTCCTTACCGGTGTACTCCCTGGGCTTGGTGTAATCCTTGACCACACTCGTGCCAAGCACCCTTTGGCTGAGCTGGTCAAGGGAGTGCTGCAGGGGGCCACTGTAGGAGCGGAGCAGCGGACGTCCCTCCTGTGCCGCGGACGCCGCCCTGTCCTCGTTCCACCGCGTCAACCCCTCCAGGAGAAATGCCTGAAAGTGCCATGGATTGGCACTTTCTCCTGAGGAGGGTCACAGATGTGTTTAGCAGTTTATTCAGTGCACACAATGTGAATGACAATGAGTCAACGACAGTGAAAGATTGACATAGCAGTGAAACATGTGGGTTTACCTGGGATAAAGCGGTTGAGATGCAGGTGGAACGACTCCAGGGACGTGGAGCCTCGTGCACAACGGTACACCGGCAGGCTGATCCCCCCCCTTGGTCAGCCTGCTCGTCTCGGTGTACAGCTCCACGTCGGGCGGGTCCTGGATGCACTGGAGGTGACGCCGCTGCTCCGTCCAGATTGCCTGGATGCGGTCCTGGTCCAGCAGGGGAATCCCCATGGTGTCCCGTCCGTTGGCACCGCCGAAGGTTTCCAGGAGGTCACCGATCAGCCGCTCCGTCTCTCCACGCGTGCGGCGACGGCAATGGATAGCCATATCCCTGCGGCTGACGTGCCTCCACACTCCGGCGTCGGACGAGAAGGTCATCCCCTGCGCCTCAAGCATCCTCTTCTTGGCGTCGAGCAACCGGGCTGCGTCCTCTGGGTCCCACAGGAAGATGCACAAGGACAGCTGCTGCAGGAAGGGCTTATACAGCTGGTGGCTCTCGGTGGTGACACCCGACGCAAAGCGGCGCATCAGGTGCCAGATGTCGAGCCGGACCACCAGCTTGTCCCACTCCTTGAACACCTCAGGTGCCTTGGATGTCCCGTGGGACGAACAACAGTCCCGGTCGACGTAGAGGAGCTGAGGGCGGCTCCACCCCAGCGTCCCGGTACCGCCGCATTAACCCCGCAGCCATGGACAACAGACCGGCCCCCTCGGCGTCCGTGAGCACGGACAAAAGCACCTGTCCGTGCTCGTTGCCGACGTTGGTTGCCCACGCTGCGGTCTGGGCGGCAGCACCGGCGAGCTTCCGGGTCACCTGTTTGAGAGAATAACGCACATCAGTAAGGCTGCACGCACATAGCCAGAGCATGATACTCAGCTTGTGCTATAGTACCACATTTACCTTCTTGGTTGAATCCATCTTCAGGATGCTTCCAAAGATGGAGGTGACCCGGGCCTTCACGTCCTCCAGGCGGGAGAGGATGTCGTGGCAGTACACCAGTAACAGATTTGGTGGTGGGGTGCACCTGCGCACGACACCTAGCGACGCGAAGGGCTCCATGACGCTGAGGTAGTGTATGGACCGCCGCATCCAGGCCTCTGTGTGTGCCTCACAGAGTTTGTTGTACAGCTGCGTGGGGCTGTTCCCCCGAGTACGCTCACGCAGCTGTATGATGACCCGCCGGTCGCAGGCAAGCCTACAGAGGAGCACATTATGTGTTACAGAAGAGCCACACACAGAGACGCTGCGTGACAGTGTTCAGACAGCTACTTACTTGTAGGTGAGGATCGCTGGGAACAGGGCGCGATGCCCCTCTCCCAGCTGACCCACGACCTCCTGCGACCAGGCAGCTACCTTCTTCTTACACCGACAGCACTCCAGGTACTCGGTGGCCATCAAGTACCAGCCGTCGATGTCCAGGACCCTCCGGATGGTCCTGTAGAGCCCACACTTGGTGAGGGCCTTGTTGCAGCATGTCGGCCGGACGCCCCACAGACGCAGGGGCGTCCAGAGGAACAGCCGACATGCGAAGAAGGCAGCTGGTGAGGCGGGTGGCTGAGTATAACTCGGCCGGGGCTGAGGGGGATCCCACCACAGCTTGAGGTCCGTGGTGAGTTTAGTCCTCCCCTTGCTGTCTGGCTGGAACAGCTCCCGGCTGATCCACTCCTGCTCTTCCACGGTGAGAGCTGTCCGCCAGCTCTCAGGCAACCGGGCCTGTGAGGAAAAAAACAACACAAACAAACAAACACACTGTAAGGAGGCTGAGTCGGTGCTACATGCAGTTTGACAGTCGACTCCACTGAGTTGTGCGTCCATGAGTACAGGTGGGTGTGTGTGTGTGTGTGTGTGTGTGTGTGTGTGTGTGTTTGTACCTCAGCCGAAGCAGGAGTGGGAGCTGCGGGCTGCTCCACATTCCTCTCCTTCCTCTTCCATCTCCACCTCCTCCGACGGTGCCGGAGGAGGTGGAGATGGAGGCGTCACCACCAGCGGGAGCGGGAGAGTCTGAAGGACCTGTACGTCAGCTTCAGACACAGTCACACACAACAAAATAGATTCAGCACAATGATAGTCATGGGACAAGACTAAGTGAGTCTGAGTGTTGATGACATGCAGTATGCCAGTGATTAGGGCAGAAGGTTTAGTGCTACAAGATGCAGCAGAGCCAAGGGTAGTAGACATGTGAAGGCGTTTAATCAAATCTACATTACCGCCACATGAGTGAGGATGGCACTACCACCTACGAAGATGGCTATATTACCTGCCAAACCTACCTTTGTCCTTCAAGCATCAGCTGTAGCGACCAGTAAATGAAACAATTACAGTTAATACAAACACACTGACAGAAGAATATATATTGATGGCAAATGTGACACGTCCAGTTTGGTGCCAGTTACCTGTTTCTATGTCAGTGGCCATCTGGACCAGTTCCTCGTCCGTCACCTCTGTGGCGTGGGGCGGCGGCGGAACCGAGGGGCGCTGGTCTCTGAAGGATGTAGACACCGCTATGGGGGGGGTTGGGCAATGGTTAGTAAATCATGTACAGTGAACTGTACTCTGTTGTGTTAAAGAGAAAGAAAGAGATCTACCTCGAACTGCAGGCTGTGCAGGTGTGGTCATCAGCTTCCTGACCTTGGCCTGCAGCTCACCTGGGCCCATGGGACGCCGGCGGCGATCTTGGAGGCGATCGGCTTGTGTGGCTACAGCGCGGTGGAAGCAGCGGCCTTGCTGGGGCCACTGCTGGTGGTGGTGGGGGCGCTGCTGCTGATGCTGCGGCTGCTGGTGGGTGGAGGGGGGTAGCAGCCGCAGCTGCCGCCTCTGCCGACCGCTTCGCGTCTCGGCCCAGGATGTACTTCCTGGCGGCGTCCATTGCAGTCCCAGGGTGCAGTGTCTTCCCTCGAAGCTACTTGACAAATCTACAACATGGACGGCATCACATTAGTGAACAATAATGACATACAGCAATTCACAATCCATTGTGTGTAGCACCAATCACTCACCCTTGGCGGTCCTTATCAGAGGACTCGTACAGGTCCTTCAGGGTGTCCTCTTTAAACTTCCCAAAGCCAACAAGGGCCTCGCCCTCACACCCGGGCTGACTGGCACGAGCCCGGGCCTCCTCGTGCGCCCGGTGGAATCTTATGTGTTCAGCGAACTCCGGGTGGGCGCACGAGTACTGGGCGAGAGCGTCCTTGTTGGCCATAAGGGGGCTGTCGGAGGCACTCTTCTCCCGCTCCCGCTGGTGGCTGGCGACCAACTGTACCGTGTAGCCCACGTCGTTCTCCAGGAGCCAACGGAACGTTTGACCCTGGTACTTCCCAAACTGGATGCTGTGGCAGCTCAGCACCAGCATGTGGTTCCCAGGGTCACCGCCCGTGGAGACGACGTGGGCTTGTGCCTCCTTCTCCACCTCTTCCAGCTTCTTGGCCCTCGCAGCAGCGGCGGCCCCGCGTGGCCCCTTGGCGGCGATGTAGGCCACCGCCTCACCAGAGGCCCGCAGGAGAAGCTGCTGCGAGGCTGTGAATTGCAGTTTTGCAAAAACCATTTCTACAATGACAAGAAATGACACAGCACAGCATTAAAGGAGCATTACAGGTTAAACTACATATTAACTGCTATATTACCAGGAATATCACACATAAGATTAATGATATACTGTTACTTCACATTCACTATTGAAACATTACCGTTAACAAACTAACATCACGTGACACAACAGGTAAATAATGAGCCCAGGGTTAGCCCCCTATGCATTGGCAGCCATTAAACAAACAGGCTTATTGTTAATGTATAAAACATACACTTAAACTTTATCTTTTGATTTCACCTGGTGATATTATAACCTTAAGGCTCTAAGGACATTAACTGTATAGTCTTTTCATACTTTAATTTTGTTTTCAGAGATCGTCACATGTTGTAATTATACTGTAGCATCCTAGCTACAGCTATGTTACATTACATTACATAATGGCGATCTCTCAAAATGTATTTAATCTTTAAACAGATTATGTGCTACAGCGAAAAGGCAGCTTATATATTATACAGTAATCAGTTAGCAGTGAAACAGCGAGCCAATGTAACGTTAGCGTAAGTTAGCACTACGGCCGATGTCATTACCGATCGGTGAAATGTGTTTAAAATAGTATTCCCATACTGTGTTTACTTGTTGAGACCTAGGATGTTGTACTGCTATTGTGTGGAGTTGATATTTAAAGTTTAACTGTGCTTTAGATGCGTTAGCATATAAATCGCTATTAGCATGCTAAGCGTTGGAAATGAATGAGCATTTAGCCACTGCTGTGATGAGCTGACGATCTCTGGAAACGCTTTAAAAACGTGATGAGACAACTTGGCTCACTTCTTAAGACCCTTGGGATGCTGGTACAACGATGTGGAGTCAAAATTTGAAGTGTAAATATGGTTTAAATGTGTAAACAGACCAGCCGCGATTTTGCTAACTAAAAACAAGGAGGTGAATGGGGTCATTTTAGTTACTACTTTTCTGAGGGCTGGCGATCTCTCACAATGTATTTAATCTATAAACAGACTACCTGATTATCTTCCTTAGACCCTGTAGATGTAGTTACTACAGTTTGGAGTCGAAATTCGAAGTATAAATATGGTTTAAATGTGTAAACAGGACGCCTGACGTCCACGTTCAATATTAGCATAAGCTAACCAGAGAGTGCCGGCAGAACGTAATAAAACATTAACTCCATTCAGTACATCGTAACAGTACAGTGGGGTCGCTGTGTTATATCAGTACATTAATATTCTATTTATTTTGGTTTTACTCACTCTCTCAGATCTCACTGCTCTCTCAAATACACACGGGGATTTCTGTCCGTCGCATACGGCAGCCGGTGAGGTTAAGAGGTGGGCGTTAACGTCTAACGCTCGACTAACGCTCGACAATCCGAGCTGCTGATTGGCCCAGAGCTGACAACGCTCGACTAACGCTCGACAGCACTGGCTGCTCATTGGCCCAGAGCTGACAACGTTCGACTAACGCTCGACAGCACTGGCTGCTGCTCATTGGCTGGCATACAGAGACCATTGCTGGTCATATTGCGCGAAGAAGCAAGGGAGCCGTGCGGAGCGCCGAGGGCGGCGCGCGCAGCCGGCCCCCCGGCCCCCGGTCGGCCGCATTTCCCCGGGCTCGTGTGATAAAGAGCAGCCCCAAAGAGCCTCTCCTTCTATTTCTCCCGATTATAACGCCAAAGAATTGGAACGATCCCCCCTTCCCCCCCTTCTCTCGACATGTGTCAGTCAAAAGCTGTTGTCCTACGTCATCCCGAGCACATGGCTACTTATCATACGGCGGCGACACGGAGAATTAAAGGCCCCGCACGCATTTAAAGCGACGAGACCTGTTTGGTTAAATGTACATTAATATTTGAATGGTTTTGGCCTCATGAATGGCTCCAGGTTTGTTTGGTTAAATGTACATTAATATTTGAATGGTTTTGGCCTCATGAATGGCTCCAGGTTTAAAAAGTTAAGTTAAAAAATATTTAAATAGAGAAGACAAGGATTTAATCAATTAAATGTTTATTAGAAAGGTTAAAAATGTATAACATAAGCAGGGAAATTGCAGTGTAGAAGCAGCATTACACACAGTAACAACAAACACACACACACACACACACACACACACACACACACACAATCAAAAAAAGCAATATAGAATGCAATATAAAAAATGTATAAATAACCAGTATAATGCAGTCCAAAGTAAAAATAAAAAATATATGGTGCAATGAACAGATGAAACATATAAGGTGCTTGGATGATACAGTACAGTTGGATAATTTTAATGTTTTTTTGACCTCTTCTCAGCCAGCCACAGCTCCACAGTCTTCCCTTCATAAAGAGCACAGAAGTGCTCTCCCCCATATTGGCTGTGGCCAAAGTCTTTCTGCTGTGGCTGGCCACAGAGCTGGCAGATCCTCAGTTTGTGGGGCTTCCTCACTTTCCCCCCGGTTTCTCTGGTTTCTCATACCTTCATTTGAGGTTCCAGGCTGTTGTTCTGGGGAGCTTCTGCAGCTCACCAGGGCCAAGCTGTTCCCTGGTCCACTCTTGCACTGTGCGTCCTCCAGGGCCCTCTTTCACAGCACAAAAGTATTGGCCCTTGAAGTACGCGTGGCCACCATCCACCGTGCGTGCTTGGTCACAGATGTAGCAGGGGTCCCCAGGCTGGTGCTGTGGCTTTCCCCTGCTACTTTGGAGGACTTTTTTGTCCTTTGCCGCTTTAATTTTGCGCCTGTAGACAGTGCAACGGGTGGGCTTGCTGGTCCCCGCCACTGGCTCTGCTGCCTGAAGCTGTCGAGGAGAGGAGCTGGAGGAGGAGGAGGATGACGAGGAGGATGAGGAGGCTGAGGAGGAGGAGGATGAGGAGGATGTGCAGTCGTAGTCCCCTAAAATATAAAATACAATACAGAACTCTGTTAGTCAAGGTACATAGAAACACATATGTAGTTTTAAAAAGTGTATTTGTAACAAACCTAATGAAGTGACATGTGTGGTTTTTCGCTTTGCTTTTCTGCCTTCCATTCTGTCCAAATAAAATGCTTGAATGAATTGACTGTCTGTTTTTTGCCTTTTTTTTTAAACCCCTCTTGGGGGAGACACACCTACCAGTTCGGCCCTCTCTCAGTCCGGTCAAACCCCCAAGTTCTCGCAGGAGATAAGAGCCCCCCTGTTGTTTTAATCAGGAAGCCAGGAGGTGAGAAGTGAAGGCCCCTCGGCACCCCCTGTTGTTTTACAATGTCCACTTGTAAAAGGCCAATTCTCACCTAGTCTCTAAGTAAGCCTTTGAACCTGACCTGGTTGACCCCTTGACCCTAGTTTCAAGTGAGGAGAGGGAATGATGTATTGTGACTGTAACTTGTGGGGATTTACTGATATCAGGCACCTATTCTAGATACCTAGTCTTCCCTATATTTATTTAATTTCTTAAAGGCAGAAAGAAGCAGGAGAAAGCATTGGTTTAAAAAAGAAAAGTTTATTTAAACTAAAACAATTAAGACAACTATATACAACTATATAGATATTGGAATTTGCCCATTGTGGGACAAATAAAAAGGTATAACTTATATATGACAACTATATACATAATATTAATTTAACAAACACAACTGACTAACTAAATACACTATATACACAATATTTACAAATCCCTCCCTCCCAAACACACACACACACAAACAAAGTGTTCGCTCAGGGAGGGGGAGCTGCCCCATCACACACACTCACACACACACACACAAAGTGTTCGCTCAGGGAGGGGGAGCTGCCCCATCACACACACTCACACACACACACACACACAAAGTGTTCGCTCAGGGAGGGGGAGCTGCCCCATCACACACTCACACACACACACACACACAAAGTGTTCGCTCAGGGAGGGGGGGCTGCACCATCACGCCCCTTCACCTCTGCCAGCCACTGCTCCACAGTTCTCCCTTTCCCGTCGGCCCGGGAGCAGAAGGTCTCCGTCTTGTAGCGGCTGTGGCCAAACGCCCGCGTCTTTGGTTGGCCACAGTGCCTGCAGTTGAAGTGGGAGACCTTCTTTGCTGGTTTCATATATTCTCCCAGCTCCCGGGCACGACGCTCTTTCTCCTCCTGGAGCTTGCGCCTCCAGGCAGTGTTTCTAGGCACTGGTGGAGCAGTGGCAGCTGTGGCTGTGGAGGGGGTGACACCTGCCTCTGCGCTGGCGGACGGGACGGCGTCTGCGCTGGCACTGGTGGACGGACGGCGTCCGCGCTGACACTGGTGGAGGCTTGTGG